CGCCCTGCGAACACGCTCTTGGTCCACCAGGGACAGATGGCACCAAGTTCTGCGGAGGAAATCATAGCCGAAGCGAAAATCATCATCGGCTTTCTTGCCATGGCCGCTGAACAGCTCCTCGGCACAAGTAGCTCGCAGTGCCTGCAGCTCGGCCTTTCTTTGCTGAAGCATAGTCAAAAACTTTTCGACCAGAGCGGTTTCGGAGACACACAAGTCACGCTCCCAGCCTTGCACGAGTGCTTCTTGCTCCGGCGACAGATGCTGTCTGTATCTTTTGAGAAACATAGCACAAAAGGAAGAGCTTACATCAGCTCCCTGGTCAAGGCTTTGCAATGCTTTCACCAGGGAGCTCTTTTCTTGAGCTCGCAGCACGGCAAAGTAAGCTTGGACAAAAGCACTCAGCCTTGCAAAGCTTCGTTGAAGGCCGGCCAGAAAAGGCGCAGCCTCCAACTTGGACTTGTCACAAAGCACAAACACCCAGTCTTCTAAATGCTCTTTCTGGTCGGCATTCAACAATGCCACGTGCCTGTCGAAGAAATTCTTAGCTTGCTTCCAACGTGTGTCGGAATTCGCGCGGTTGCTGCTGACAACAGCTGACAAGCTTTGCTGCTGTAGCTGAGCAATTTCAACAGCATTCTGAGCGAAGAAGGCTTGCACTTCGACAAAGGCAGGAGCACGACGCGATGCTGCAGCTTCTTTTGCCGCAGCACTCACTTGACACAACTCAGCTTCCTTTGCAAGCAAAAAATCCTTTTCCGCAGACGCCAAGCGGTCGCTATAGCGCAGCAGGAAAACACGGCAAAAGCTCGACATTTGAAATTCCTGCATGTGTCGACTCTGCAAAGCTGCCAGCAAGCTTGGCTTGCTTGAGTATCTTATCGCCTCTGCCGTCTCTGTCAAAAATGCCTCCACGCGGCAAAAACAGCATTGAAGGCCGGCCAGAAAAGGCGCAGCCTCCAACGTGGACTTGTCACAAAGCACAACTCCCAGTCTTCCAAAATCTGCTGCTGAGCTGGCTCCAAGCTTGAAAGTTTTCGTCTGCAGAAATTTCTGGCTCGCTCCCACTCTGGTACCTGACTGCGCCGCTTGCTGTTGAGCAAAGCTGTAAGCGTCGGCTTCTTCATTTGCACAAGCTCCTGCGAGTAGGCTGCCAAAAACGCCACCGTCTTATCAAATGCGTCTGCCATGGCGTCCGGAGCGGTCAGAAAAGACGCGCTCCACCGTGCGGGATACACAAGGAAATGATGTCACTGGCATGTGTCTGTGGAAGTATATGCGTTCTGTGGGAACACAAACTAAAAAAAAACATCAAGAGGTTGTCCGCCTGAACGTGATGCTGGTAGGTCGGCTGGTGACAAACAACAAACTAGAACATTAACATGTTCTCGGCCTGTGTGTGGTGCTGGTGGGAGTGCTGGTGAAAGTGTAGTGGTGGTAGTGGTGGTGGTGATGTGAGTTGCCGCTCCGCGATTGAAGCCGGGACATGAACAAACATGAACAGTGGTGGTGGTGATGCTATGCTGGTGACGAAAACCGGGACATTGAACAAACATGACATACGCGGAGCAACTGACAAGACAGAGCCGAAACGCCACACGGTCACAGCGACATTACCTCCCCATCTATCTATCTATCTGTCTATCTACCTATCTATCTGCCTGTCTACCTCTCTATCTATCTGTCTACTTGTCTCTCTATCTTTCCAGCTTTCTATCTATCTATCTATCTATCTATCTGTCTGTCTGTCTATCTATCTAGAGCGCGACTAACTCAACAGGGCAGCGTAGGATGCCTTGCGCGTTGCCACTCCAATGCGTTTTACCACTGCCAAGCTGCATTCCATCTTAGAAATGCGCACCGCGCGCAAGCGCCACGCATTTTTTCCAAATTGGATGAAAGCCTTGCGCGTTGCCATTCCAATGTGTTTTACCACTGTCAAGCTACATTGCATCTTAAAAACGCGCACCGCGCGCAGGCGCCACGCATTTTTCCAAGTTAGATAAAAGCCTTGCGCGTTGCCATTCCAATGCGTTTTACCGCTGTCAAGCTACATTGCATCTTAAAAACGCGCACCGCGCGCAGGCCGCTTGCGATTTTTTAAAGTTGGAGCTTCCAAAAGTAGCCCGACCCTGTAGTGTTTTTACGATTTTGACTTCCAAATGTGCGCCGCGCGCAGGCCGCGTGCGATTTTTGACAGTTGGAGCTTCCAAAAGTGTGCCGGGAATGTAGTGTTTTTACGATTTTGACTTGCAAATGTTCACCGCGCGCAGGCCGCGTGCGATTTTTTGCCAGCAATTCCGACCAAAGGCTCCGCACCCGCCGCTTTACCGAGGTAACTTCTGGGCCGTTCGGAGGCTCAAAACATTGAAAAAATACAGCATTTCGCGACCTTTCTAACATTTCGCACACCATGCTTCATCTTTCTTCATCGCTTCTTCATCTTTCTTCATCGCTTCTTCATCTCTTCTTCTCTCTCTCTCTCTATCTCTCGCTCTGCACTGCTCTGCTTGAGTTGTCGATATTGTCGGAAGTTAGACTTCTAAACTTCCTTTGCATCTTAAAAACGCGCACCGCGCGCAGGCCGCGTGCGATTTTTGAAAGTTGGAGCTTCCAAAAGTAGCCCGACCCTCTCAGGTTTTTACGATGTTGACTTCCAAATGTGCACCGCGCGCAGGCCGCGTGCGATTTTTGAAAGTTGGAGCTTCCAAAAGTAGCCCGAGCATGTAGTGTTTTTACGATTTTGACTTCCAAATGTGCACCGCGCGCAGGCCGCGTGCGATTTTTTGCCAGCAATTCCGACCAAAGGCTCCGCACCCGCCGCTTTACCGAAGTAACTTCTGGGCCGTCTGGAGGCTCAAAACATTGAAAAATACAGCATTTCGCGACCTGTCTAACATTTCGCACACCATGCTTCATCTTTCTTCATCGCTCTTCATCATTCTTCATCGCTTCTTCATCTCTTCTTCTCTCTCTCTCTCTCTATCTCTCGCTCTGCACTGCTCTGCTTGAGTTGTCGATATTGTCGGAAGTTAGACTTCTAAACTTCCTTCGAATAGTAACTCATTCCCAAATATGATTTAGCTTAAATGTGGCTAAACAAATAAAGGGCACATATCCCCAGACTCCCAAACTTGGTCTGGAGATGTTTGGCATGTGCAGGTCTCAGAGCTTTCGTTTTCAGGAGATTTTATGCTTTTGGGTCTGTGCAGGTTACAGAGCTCAACGCTGCCAAAAACGACATGTTTTCAATGTTTTTTTCCCTAGCGTGCTCAAAACCGCTGTAAAAACCAGTGTTTTCCAACAAAGCCAGACTTGAATCCGAAAACGGAATCCGTTTTCGCTTTGCTGCCTTTCAAGCCTCAAAGAACCAGACATCTGCTGTCATATAGAACCTAAAAACCAACAACAACACTGTATTTTACAGTGTTTTCAGGCATTTGCAAGAAAGAGGCACACGTAGCAGAGTTGGCACCTTCAACTAGAAGAAGGCAAAGGTAGGCCCTGGGGGGGGGGGTGACCATATATATATATATACATTTGTTAATTTATATTTTATATATATATATATATACACACGCACACGCGCGTCGTTCTCTTTTTTTTGCGCGCGATCGACGCGTGTCTAAGTCAATCACACAAACGCGCGCGCAACTATGCACTCATATCTCAAACATCTCAAACATACAAAAACAATTAGGACGCGTCGCGTATTACATAGCGGGCCGCGCGCGTAAATGTCGCGACGGATATCCGGAGACGAGGTTCAAATCGCAACCCGACCGCGCGACAAGGCGCTGACGAAAGCGAGGCTTAATGGCCGCCTCCACAATATTCGATCTATAACCGAGCCATTTCCGAAAACCCGTTGCGAAGGTCTTGAACTAGCAAGCGCGTCGCGATTCGCCACGCGATGAGGCGTTTGCCTATACGTGATAACTACGAAAACGGATCGTCGCGATCGCGTCGTTTTTTAGTCATATTTATTTTCAAATGATTGCAACTCGTTTAATTATTGATATAGTTATTTTTTATTTTCTCGCTGAACTGCGCTGTGACACTTCACGCGTGTCGCGCCCTTTGACGAACCTGTAAGCGCGTCCGCCAAAGGGCGCGTCCGCGTCTGTATTGCGATTCGTTTGAAACACGCCAGCTGAACAAACGCGCAAGAGGTTAGATCATTGTTAGTCTAAAAAAGGGCCGAACACGCAGCAAACTGTTTCAATTATGGCGCGTTTCAAACTAGCCGCGGCTGCTGCGTGCCTCTTCCGACTTCGGAGGAGCCTTCAGCACGCCCACTTTGACTCGAAGCTTTCGCTTCAAGTCCTTCTCCAGCCATTTTTTGTATTTGGCTATAATGCCGCGGGCCTCGTACTGTGAGAGGGCCACTTTGCCCTCTACGCAGTCCTCCGCGGTCTTCTTCGCATGTGCCTAAGTTTGACACTGCAAATCTGTCACTCGCGTTTTAAAACCCTGAAGGGCCCTGACAAAACCAGCCGGCGCGTCCGACTCGGGCAAGGGCGGTTTCGCCCGAGTTGCCCGGGGGCCGCGCGCTCGCTCGTCTTCCCCGTCTGACGCCTAAGCGCGCGCGGCAAGCGAAGACGCGCGCTTTGTTGGCTTTACTGCGAGACTAGTCTAAGACTACGGCATAGGCAGTGTTCATCTCAAGCACTTCCTCGCCGTTGACCGAGGAAAAGCTGAAAGTTCTCTTCGCCTGCGCGCGTGCTTGCCGCGTTCGCGCCCTATGCAAAAGGACAACCGCCTCATCCGGGTGACAGTGGGTGAGGTCGTAGGTGGCACACACGTTCATAGCCAGACATTTACGGCAGTCCTAGTGCCCGAGCCGGGCCTCTATCCGGTCACGCGGCAAACCAAGGTCTGGTTCCTGGACGGCGGCAGGCCCAAGCCCGTGCTGAGGATCTCCCGAACTCAGATCCCGCTAGTGCCGGCCTACGCCATCACTGCCCACGGGAGTCAGGGTAAGACCTTGGCGGCCGGCGGCCATGGCCGACTTCAACGTGGACAGGTGGACGGACATCACCTTCGGAACCGTGGCCGGCAGCCGCGTGAGGCCTTTTTTTTTTTTTAGGGAGCGGAGTAAAAACTTTTGCGCGCTCGGCGGTCGACTCAGATTCGTCGCGTCTGTTGCTCGCAGGAGCCGTGAAGATATCCTCATTTTGCGGCCGTTCCCACTCTGGCTCTTCCAGCGGGGTGCGCCAGAGGGGCCAGAGTTGCTGCTGAAGACTCTCCGAGGTGAAAAGATTGATTGGGTCAACTACCGCGAGGCCCGCGCGCCCAGCGCGCCGTGCCAACAATGCAAAGTGGTTAAGCCTTTCGACTACTTCGCGGACGCCCAGGGGGACAAAGCCAGAGCCAACCTGCCTGCCACTTGTCTGACTTGCATTCATAAGGATGGAGGCGCCTGCAAGCGCAAACTGCCTTCCAATGTTGAGCGGCTGCGCTGCATTGGCTGCGGCTTCGAGAAAGTGGAGCACTCGTTTCCCCGAGCTCAACTTCGGCAGCCTCGTGCAGAAGAAAGGCGAAATTGCATCGCGTGTTTGAAGAACGTCTCGGAGTTGTCTTGCTCGCAATGCGCAGAGGTGAAGCCGCTGAAGGAGTTCCACCTATCTGCGTTGACGCTGCCGTGGGCGGCCGCGTGTCAAAGTTGCCAGGACGCGGTGCGCGGCAAGGCTCGTCGGCTCCGGGCCGGATGGGAGAAGTGCCGAGGCTGCGCGGCTTTTCTGCCCACGTCTTCTGCCGTCTACATCAACCAACGCTGCCCCAACTGCGCGGCAGATCGCAAACGGGGCGAACGTACTTGTCTCAGATGCAAGAGGCAATGGAGCGAGAATTCGGCGGAAGAACAGATCCGCAAACGATTCTGCCCGAATTGCCGCCAGGGTAGATCTTGGAGAGCGATTTTAAATGAAGGCGGCAAAAAGCAAATGCGCGATTGGGTCTTGCCTTGTTGGCGCGCGGCGCAGCAATTTGAATGCGACATTCCCAGCATTGCGCGGCTCTTTGACCTGCTAGCTCATCAGCTTCAAAATGCGTGGGGCCGCGTTGGGCCCGCGCTATGTTTTCGAGATGTCGCCAAGGCGCGGAGAGCGCGCTAGCGTTGCGATGACGCTCTTGTCCTGACGGGCCGAGGCCTTTAGAGCAGTCCGCTTTGCCGAGGCGGGGGACATGATTCACGCTTCGCTCGCGTGTTTGTTGTCTTGCAGTCGCGGGACTCAGGTCTAGTCGGAGACGCGCGCGCGAGGCCGCCGCGGCGCAAGAGCGCGGAGTGCTCCGAGTTGCCTGGCGCGAGGCGCGAGTCGCGCGACGTTCGATAGTTCTGGGGCTTAGGTCTTCCCCATTTCCGTGAAGCTTCTAGAACTAACTGGGCACGATATTCGAACCTAACATTGTGAGCTCAGGTCTCGGTTTGAGTTGTCGAGAGTGACTACGTCTCGGAATTTTGCTGATTTTCGGCTACGCGTTTGCATAAGCCTTTGCCTGAGCAATTATCTCAATCTAGCTTGAGCCATTTTTTTGCTTGCGTTTAAAGGCCTCGCTAAGTCGCGTCGAGTCCTTTGGTCAACGAAAATGACTATTTTGGTCGTTTCTCTTAGCCTTTTCATATCCGCGCTCCGAGCATGTTTTGTTCGGTCTACATTCGCTCAGGTTGGTTTATCTGAAGCTAAATTGTTAATCTAAATTATCGCGAAGTCGATCGAGCTCATCTTTTTGATGTTCGAGCTTGTCTTTCGCGTTCGTTAGGCGAGCATGATCTTGTTCGATCTCCCTTTTAAACGCTCGAGTTGTTCAACTTGGTTGATCTGATCGAGTTCAATTTCAATCTTGCCTAGATCAAGCTTGAAGTGGTTCATAACTCTTGCTCGTTTGGTTGAGCATCTTAGTCGAGTTATGTCTTTTCGCTCACGCTCAGAACGTTTTGTCGAACTGCGTTCGACCTGTCTAGAACGTCGTGCTCGGTCTCTCACTCGACGTGCTTACTCAATCAAGTTTAGGGGTGATTTAGCTCGACCTTTTCGGATTACAGTGCAGGGATTCCCCTATATAGAAAAACTTTCGAAGCTTTGAGGTCTCCGCTACTCGCTCTCGACATTTGCCTAGGGCGCCACCACACTGTGTTGGCGGACCCTAAACCCTAAACCCTAAACCCTAAACTTTTAGTGGCTGCCGCCATATGCGCCAACACAGGTGTAAGGTTGTGTGTCGATCTTAGTGTTGACAGACCGGTCAAGCGACATAAGATCGATGCTCAATTAAGCCGTCTATCGAGCTATGTGACTTACAAAGTTTTAGCTTGCCTCAATTTAGACTAGACCAACTTTTCAAGCTCGAGATGATAGATTTAAACTGTCCATTGAATCGGGCGAGACTGAGGCTTAAACTTTTCATTGATGGAGCATCAAACGTTCTAAACGCTTAAGCTGACCTCGCCCCAAATTGATCAACGCCGCAAACTCGAGGTCGGAAACGTCGTCGTCTTGGCCTCCAACGAGCTATGCGCTGCCCCGTGCTTGACCCGGCCGCTGATAAATTCTTTGCGCGGGATCATATAGAACTAGCCAGCACTGCTCTAAATCTAGAGATCTGGCCATTTGGCTGCCCTCCAAGGCTCAGCTCTGTCCCGGGAAGGTGATTCTGTTTTCTTTTTAAAAAATTCAGGATTTGGGCTTGGCCCGGTCGCTGATAAATTCTTTGTGTGGGATCATGTAAAACTAGCCAGCTCTGCTCCAAATCTAGAGATCTGGCCATTTGGCTGCCTTCCAAGGCTTAGCTATGTCCCGGGAAGGCGATCCTGTCCTGTGAGAGGGGCCAGGCCTGTTTGACGATCCTCAGGCCCAGCCTAAACAGAAGACCCACCCAAGCAAGGCCCAGCCCAGCCCAGCCCAGGCAGGCCAGTTGTCAACCAGTTGGCCAAAAAAAATCAACCCTCGCCTATGCCTGTTGGTCCAGGATCCTGTCTGGAGGGCCTGGAAAAGTCCTGGAAAGGCCCAAGAGGGCCTGGAAATTCTCAAGCCTCCAGCTGCAAATGCGCTGAAAATCGCGAAGCCGAAGAAAAGCTTTTGTCACGGAAAGCATGACCTCCCGCTGGCCAGGCCGCCCGCTCCACGACTAGCGCCAGGACTTCTTGTTGCTTGGCGTTCAGGTTGGGCCGCTTGGCTTCCAGCCACCCGAGCTGGCCTGCC